CCACGTGTCAGGGGTGGAAAAATGGCCACGGACGTGTCTGGGGCGGAAAATGGCCGCGGACCACGTGTCGGGGCGGAAAATGGCCACGGACCACGTGTCAGGGGTGGAAAAATGGCCACGGACGTGTCTGGGGCGGAAAATGGCCGTGGACCACATGTCTGGGGCGGAAAATGGCTGCGGACCCCGTGTCACGGGAGGGAAAATGGCCGCAGATCCGGTTCGTAACTCAAGGTGGTTCACAACACGAGGTAAATTTTTGGGGCCGGAGCTGGTCGTAACACAAAAAATTCATAAGCAGAGGCATTCGTAACTCGAGGTACCACTGTATACTGGTTTGATTTATCTATGCCTCCTTCCTTCCCTTCTCTTGTTTGTGTGTACTTTTGATCAGAAAACCTGTTAATTAGGAACTTTTTTTTTGGAAAGCACTATGTATTCAGATCATTGTGTATATGCAAATGAACCCAGAAGCAAAACATCACTGTCCTTGTTTCCTCATCCAAAAGAAAACAGTTTTATGGTTGAAACTGCAAATAAATCCAAACTGTCCTTTGTAACCATTCCATATGCTATCTCTGTTCTGTGTAGCTTCTTTGATCAAAGAAAAATAAGAAGCAGAAAAAGTATAGCTGTGTCCTGTATAGCTAAAGGCCCCCAACAATAGAATCCCACACATTGAGTTTAAATAGTCCATAGACCACCATTTGACTTCTCTAACTAATGAGAAAAATACAGGATGGGCATTGTTTCCAATCTTACTCCTCTGAGTTCTCTCCTCTAACTACTCATACCATCTGCAGGCACAGAGCAAGATCCAAAGCCAAAAATGATTAGACAGCAATGGAAAAGCAAAAAAAAAAAAAAACCACCTAAAAGATAGCTTAGGTATGGTTTCTTGCAGCGCATGAATAACATTAGAACATGGAGAAGATGATTAACTACCATACCAGGAGTTATAATAATTTATTTCCAACTCAGTTAATGAGAGAGTAATAAAAGATAGACTAAAAGAAGAGAAGATTCAGCACCTTTTCCAGGGCACTGGACATTTTCTACAAATACTAATAAGTGTAACAGATGCTTTAATATAATAATTCATATATAATAATAATAATAATAATAATAATAATAATAAATATAATTCATATGCACACCTACATAGATAGGGAGCATAATTAATGTATCATGGTCTCCAACTTTGTCACTTGGTTCAGTCCTCTAGTACTTAACTAAGAGCTGAATATAAATAACAATTTATTACAAAGGACCCACAATAATCATTTATGTCTATCCAAAAGACAGGGAATTTTGTACCTGCTCAAAACCTCTCAGAATAAAGAACAAATAAACAAACCAATGGATCATCAAACAAATCAACCAAGAGTTCTCACTCAAGGCACAAATGACCAGACTCAAATTATCCTACTTTGGACACATTATGCAAAGACCCAGCTCTCTGGAAAAGGCTCTAATGCTGAGAAAGGCGGAAGCAAAGAGAAGAAGAGAATGACCAACAGCAAGATTCAGTTATAGTGGCGATAAGTGCACTGTTGGAAGACCTGAAAGACTAGGTTAGGGACAGACTGTCATGAAGAAAATCAATCTATGTGGTCACTAGGAGTCGAAAAAGATTTAATGGCACATAATCAATCAATCAATCAATAACAAGTATGTTTTAGCTGCAGCATGGTAATATTCACTATGTTGTGTTCACACTAGAATCAAGAAAGGGAAAAAGAAACTGGGAAGGTAATCCAGTATGACTTAAGAGGGCGGAGGAGAAAGAGGGTGATGATACAATATTCCTAGTTTTCCTCTTGGGGTTCATAAATTTTCAGCTGCATGTGAAAAGGGGGGGGGGGAGACTCAATGCAGATTAGGTGCGGGATCCGTATAACTTATGGAACCTGAGGCCTCCTGAATGTCTAACACAAATGAATGGGACTTTATAAAATCACAGGCTATCTAACATTAATTAACAAAACATTATTACTGTATTGTTTGTTTTTCATTTCCCTTCATCCTCATTATTTGCACACACACACACACACACACACACACAGAGAGAGATAGGCTTAAAATTTAAGAAAACCTTTCTTAAATCTGATAAACTAGTTTATATTCCACATAAACATCATGCTGTAGTCAATGTGTTAGCCTTTTTTTCTCCAAAGGACAACAAGCAAGGATGTATGCCATTAGCAACAATCTCAGGATGATCTTTAATACCATCAAACAAAGGCTGTTCCATTTTGTTTTCCACAGAAAAAAACTTCTCCGTAAAGAAGAATTTCTAACCTCAGGACAAAGAGTTAAGTTTGGTGACTCACAATATCTTTTGATTTGGACTTAACCTCGTATATATTTAGCTTCCTTTGTTGCTTACTGCAAAAATTCTGCAGAGTAAAATGTATTTTATAGGCCAAATAAGACAAATTATAATAATAAATTATTCATAGCAATAATCAATACAAGGTGATTGATGTTACTAAATTGAAAATATAACTTTACTGCAGTATTTGTTTAAAGAATGGGGTTTTAAAACCTTAATCCTAACACTGACAATCTCCTACCGACAGAGATGGCTCCTAGATTAGCAAATCAAAGCTAAACCACAAGTCCTTTTGTGGCAATAGCAGCTGAACAGAATTGAGCAATCTTTCTAATCTTTGTACTAGGAAGGTTACATTCTCCTTGTCTGACCTACCAGAACATTCAACAAGCAAGGGAATTATTTAAAATTAAGGTGCCTAAATTTGTTAGAATAGACACCCAATGCTGAATATGACAAACTGACTCAATCTCCTCCTCCAGGCAAGGGAAAGACAATCCTATGAGGGAATATTGCTATATTTCCTTTCTAAAACTATGGAGGGAAAAGCATTGAGACATGCTAGTAAAAAGGCTCCTCTGTCCGGGACAAACAGGATGTTTATGATATAATTGGGGGGGGGGTGAAGAGATTTCTAAACAAACCAGCTATGTAGTAATGAAAGGAATTATACCAAGCATTCAAGCTCTAGATTCTGTTACTTTAGCTCTAATCTGGTTCTCCCAAAACCCAATGAAAGTACAGATTGTTCTCACTTAGCGATCACTTGTTCAGCAACCATTCAAAGTTACAATGGGGATGAACGAGGAAACCTATGACCGGTTCTCGAAGATGTGGCCATCAAAACATCGCTACAGTCACATGATAGCAATTCAGGCATTTGGCAACCGGCATGCAATTACAATGGTTGCAGCGTCCCACGGTCACATGATCACCATTTGCAACCTTCACTGCTGGCTTCCGACAAGCAAAGTCAGCGGGGAAGTCACCAGGAAAAGGCAAGTCACACTCACAAGGTGTCGCACTTAATGACCACAACTGGTTGCAAGTTGCTGTGGTCATGTGATTTTTCACTTTATGACCACATCACTTAGTGATTGAGTTCCCAGTCCCCATTATGGTTGGTAACTGAGACTACCTGTAAATATTCAGTTCAGAGGTCTCAACATTTAAGATCTGCAAGCATTCTTATCTTCCAGGAAATTAAGGATGCCAAGAATTGTTCTTAAAGAGCCAGTTTTAACAAGACCTTAAGGTGGCAAAGCTAGGGGAGCCTTGACAGAGTCTAGACCTGATCTGAAGTATAGAAGAGTTTGATGACACATTGCAGAACCTGAACAATAGCTTTAATGAACTTGGACTGTATTACTGTGAAGGTTCTCAGAACTTTATAATAGGACTATAAACCTTGGAGCCAGAGACTCATTACTTTGGCTTTAAACAAATTTATTGTTTAATTATTGTTACCACTACTGGTGAATCATAAAATTGCATTGGCAGTTTTATGGATCCAGGCCGAAACATCTTTCATCTGTTTCTTCTGGACAAGAATAATTGAAAGGTAATTCCCATATATTTAAAATCTTTTTATCTGATAAATATTGCTGCTGATAAACTTCCAGCTATGGCTACATTTTGCTCATTGCTTGGTGAACAGTACTTTTGTTTTAGAGTAGCTAAAGGCCAGTTTTTCCTTACTATAAAACATGGGAAGGACTTGAAGGCTCTGTCTTAGGCCTACCAGTGTTGAGAATACATACCTGCAATATTGGCCTACAAAGGAAAGG